TGTTCCAGACTTAAGCTGTTCTGAAATCAGTAGAGATGGTAGAAGAAGGTTCCGCGTGCATCTCGTGTGACACTCGTACAGCATTTCTCTGTCACTCCAGACACCGGACGCAGTTAGACTCAGTGTACTCCACTGGGTGGAGCTGGGATTGAACAGAAAAGGGTACCCAACAGAAGGAACAAGTCCTATTCTTGGAGCAACCAGGAATAGCTACACACCATCGGATGTAGCTCAACAGGAGAGAGCTGCCTGCAAAACAAGCAATTTCCTCTCTCCAACTCACCTTCCAGCCCTTTTTCTGGATACAAGCTCCTTTAAAAAGCATCACTACTCACTACTTAGATTTAGTTTGTACTCAAGTACACAGGTTTAGATTTAGCTTGTTCTGCTTTAAGACGCTGAGACAGACTACATCAACTACAGAAAACCTTCCCAGGCCAATTTTCTGCAATTCTGACCCCGAATCAGCCTGAGGGCCGGCACAGAGCTGGGCAGCGGGTCAGCAATTTGCATCTGGCTCTCTTTCCCAGCCTCGAGCATTTCAGTGCAGCAGCCACAACTTTTATCAGTTTGCCCATGCCTGTTGTTTTTGTGTCACTCTCTTGCAACAGGAGGTGGTTGTGATTCACTCGCTTGGTTTGTTTGGTTTGTTTTGCTTTTTCAATCTGCAGAGAGCAAAAAATATTTTCAACCAACATTTTATGATACCAGCATCATCCACTCTGTGAAAATGAGCCCTGTGTGGAAAATAGTGTTGCTGGGAAAGACAGCTTTCTCCTGGAAATGTTGATGCTCTGAGAGCTATCCCACAAAGTTTTCACATCCATGGGGACCATGGTCTGGAGAAAACAGTGTCACTGTCAGTGAGGAGTAAAAGCTGGTGCTAGCACCACAGTCTCATTTTGCCATCACTCCCAATTGGTATGAGTTTGGCCTCATCGCCGGTCAGCTCTCCTCTTCCTTTGCTAGCTGAACGCAGCACCGCTGCACCGGCGGGCACAAAGAGCTCCTAGAAGAGCTCTTATCAGAGGTGCTTTCCAGCACAGCTTTCCCATGGCAAGGAGAGGCAGCTGAGCTTGGCAAAGCACAGGAGCTACTACAGGCAGCGTGGGCCATTTCCAGGAACTGCAATTTCGCCTCCCTTCTCTATCCCCTCTACGTGACGTGGGGCAGCCTAAAGACAGTTTACCCAGACGATGCAGCCAAGGGTCAAGTATATAATCCTTCTGTTCCCCTGTGGGACCTGCTTATCTCCTGTGAGCTCCGCACTAGCTCAGAACCTGTCCCCTTCCAGAAGGGAATAATTAAACCGTTCAGACCCCATCCTACCCCAAGGTGTAAACGCAGCAGGCAAAGAGGGGCTGTGAGTTTGTCTCAGATCTATGCACGTGAGAGTAACCAGGGACAAGACAATCTTAAGCATGGCAGTAGCTACAAATAATTCCTGGTCTGCACCAAAGGTCCCAAGCTATAGGAGCCTGACCCAGCCCTCAGGCTCCTTGTTGTCCTCACTGCACTCGTCTGCTCTCCCCATGCTCAGTGACTTTTCGGTCATGAGACAGACAGCCTGAGATGCCACCCTCCTGCTCTGTACAGAGGGGCTGTATCTGCCCATGCTGTCGCACGGAGAGCTCTGCCCAGCCTCGGGACACAGCGGTCTCGGTCTCTGCAAACAGATTAGAAGAGTTAACACAGTATCTGTGCTGACAAGCAAAAGCTCAGTATGGGATGTGAACGCACCTTTTTCAAAGCAAATCCCAGCTGGCCAGCGTTTAGTTCAGAAAAATAGATGGAAACAGGGGGAGGATAGAAATAAAAGGGAAGGTAAACAAGAACACAGCGTGCAAGGTTGAAGCATTTGCTTCTGCGCCAGCCCAGGCTGCTAAAGCTGAACTTACTCCCACTCTGTAAATCTCAACAGATAGGGAACCTGACATTTACAGTCTTCCTCTGTTAGGACACTGGGGAGGGTAATAGCCGGAATAGACCTGGACCCATCTGTGTGCTGTGTCAGCTGCAAAGGAGGTAGCGAAGTGCTTGTCAGTAAAAAAACACGTTCAGCACTTCATATATAACCTCCAGTGGCCTGGAACTGACCTCAGCCCTTTGCTCCGAGTGTTTTACCCCTAAGAGAAAGAAACCCTGCAGTCAGACGTGCTTTCAAATAACTGTTCCCCAGCCGGACACGAGAGCTGGGCACCTGCGCTGGCTGCTGAGAGGGTTCTGGGGATCCCTCACCCTCCCAAGCGCGTGCTGAAAGAGGGCTGATGTTGGGGAAAAGCATGCCTCCTCCTTACCCCTTCCTGCACTGTGCTGCGGCATCAGGGAAGAAAATAAAGGCAGAAAAGCAGCTGTGGCCAAGGCCTCAGGGCTGGCTTTATACGCACTGCATTCACAAAGGCAGATCTGCAGAGCGCGGTGCTCCAGGCACTTACTGCCGTAACTCCAAGTCCCCTGACTGCAAAATTACTTAGACCCAGGCAGCTCCAAGCACCGAGACGGGCCAACTCGGTTTCTTTGTCTCCAGATCTGAGTTCGGGTTCGTGCCACCTAAGCCCAGCTAAATTTCTTTCCCAGCTCTCAATGTCCCCTCACCTATTTCTTGGTACGAAACCGGACAGCAAGGGACCCAGCCCTGGCGGAGCAGTTCAGGCTGCCTGCAGCAAGGCCAGGGCTCTCTCGCCAGGTGTGGTGGGATGCTGGTGAGGGGAGCAAGGCTGATGGAAGGGCAGCTGCAGTTTTGCCCAGCACAGATTTCCTCCTCTCCTCCAGCGCTGCAGCCCAGGGGGGCATCCCACAAACCCCACACATGTACTCTCCCCTCCTGGAGGGAGCTGGGCTCCAGCTAGCACCAGGAATATCTCCATTCGCCCGCAGGGCTGTAACATCTCTGGGTGCCTTTGCTGAAGCTGCCATACCTGGTGCTAGTGATTGGCTGTGGCATGTAAGAAATTTAATTACGTAAAGAGCTGCCAGCTCCCGCAGAGCCCCGGGCTGAGGCCAGCACTGCACCGCGGCAAAGACAGCACACCAGGCTCAGCCCTGGCACGAACACCCACGCAAATGTCCCGCACTGCTGTTCTCCATCCCGCTCCCAGCCTCCAGGACCAGGGCTCGAGCCACAAACTGAGCCCTGCAACACTGCCACCCCCAGGGTCAGGGACAAGCCCCTATACAGGGATGTAAACGGCAGCAATGTGCTGACCTGCAGTTTTACTAAAGATGCTGAGCTTGTCTTTCACTGGGCCTGGAGCACTGGGGAAGTTAAAGAGGGCTCCCTACCACCCCCCGCATCCCTTCTGCCCCTGTCCCATTTCTTCACCCTCCCCCCAGACCCTCCTTTCCACCCTTCCCCTCACCCACAGACCCACTTCCTAAAGGGCAGAGGTTACGCCAGCAAAAGGCAATCTTAAATAGGACACAGGAGTGATTCTTAATGAGTGTGCCACAGAGGTACCTCTGGTACCTCCCTAACCAGAATCCCTCTCGGCCCGTGCTCCAGCTAAGCTCTCACTCAAGCAAAAAAAAGAAAAAAAAAAAAAAAAAGGGAAGAGAACAAGAAAAACAGAAATAAGCATAAGCTGATCCCCTTGCGGGGAAGTGTCCTAACACTAATTGGCTCTGGTGTTTCTCAGCGACAGATTCTTGCTGTGTTCAGTGCCGGGAAAGCCACGGACACAGATGCAGGGAAAGCCTAAGTGACCATACTGCATGCCAAGCCCAGCCCACAGAGACAGGTGGAAATCAACCACCCGAACCTGCTCTTCCCCCTCAGCAGTTTTACTCCAGGACAGGCATTTCCAAACACGTCAGACCCTTGCAATTCAACTTCCCCTCCTCACTGCCAAGCAGTGCAGGGGAACTGTCTATGGAGAAATACATGACCCCCATCCCCTTTTCCACCTCAGGCTCTGTGCCTTCTCCCCCTCTTGCATCCCGTTTTCTGAGCTGCTTCATTCTCCCGTGAATAAAACAAATGATGTGATACTAGGAGCAACCTTTCGGTGCCCTCCCTGCTGGTGTCTCTCCCCTTTGTGCAACGGGCAGGGGCCACCTCCGAGCCACGCACCCACCACCCTTCCCTCTGCTCCCGGCCCTTCATCCGCAGGCAGCGATAGGCCCTGAAGAAGAAGGACATAATACATAACAGCAGAAGAATAACAGATGGCGCAGAATAAACCAAGGGAAATTCGTGTCCTCTGAAGTTGTCGGCGAATAGGAAACACAGAGGAGCTGTTGTACTGCAGAGCAGCGTGAGATCCGCAGCTCGGCTGAACCCGCCGGCTTAGCCAAACACCAGAACCGCCGGGGACAAGACGGGGTCTTTTGTTAAAGCCTCCCTGGAGGGTATTAATCAAAAAAGCTTGGAAGACACATGATACAACCAGCAAACGTTAGTCTGCTCTTTTCAACACACGAAGCTTGGGCTGCGCTCTAAGCTCGCCTCTTAAAAACATTTCTTTGTTCAGTTTCTGCTAAGATCAGATCTGATTGTAAGTCCTTGTGTGCCATTTCAGATAGTTTCTCAGAGAATAGCGATCTTCTGCAAATATTTACCCGCGGAACTCATTTGCAGCTAACAGGGTGAGTACATCAGATGAATAAGAAAATTAACTGTTATGCAAATATACTTCTCCATTTCTCCCTGAGAGTTAGAGAAAATGGTTACTGTGTCTGCTTCAGGGCTTTTCGACAGCCTTTAATTCACCCAGCTTGTAGAAGAACGTTTTTAGAATATATATAAAGGAAAGGACTTGGCAAGAAGAGGGATCCAAAAGCAATCAAGGAAGCCAGAAGCCCCTTCCTGAGACCACAAGCATTTTAGCTCATTCTAATGAGAGCCAAGGCTCCCTGAAGAGACAAAAGAAATAAAAAAAGAGCAACTCTTCTCAAAAGGTAAGGCATAGGTAGAAAATACATGGTGCAAGGAGTAGCTGTCAGCTGCAGACACTGCTGCTGCTGTATCTCAAGGTTGCAGCCAACCGCAGCCCGGGACTTACCTTGAGGAGCTGTGATGATCCTGGGGTTCACCTTGGAGTGCCCCGCAGCCCACATGCCCAGCTGGCCGGCCCACAGGGCCATGACAAGGGCAACCGGTGACCTCCTGCCCATTTCTACTTAATCAGCGAGCAGAGATACGGGCTTGTGAGGCTGCCAGCTGCAGCACTTGCCTTATACAGAGTGGGCACAGCCAATGACTGAAACAGAGGGCGGGACTATGTTTAGGAAGTAAAAAAAAAAAAGATCTAAATGAAATGTTTCAATTCAGCACCTGGTCTTCAGCAGCTCGTACCTGCAGACTTTGCTGGGGGGTTTGGTCCTTCCTTTTGGTTTTTTCCCCCCCTCCTCCTGTAGGGGGAAGGGGGGAGGCTGATGGCTTTGTTCACCTTCTTGAGAAAAGCTGCAGCTGGCCCAAGGCTTGCCATCAACTTGGCACAGAGGCTTGTAAGAGGAATATTAAGGTCAATATGAATGAAATAAGAATGAAAATATGTGTGTGTAAGCATGCAGAAGAAGCAACAGCAGAGCAAGGGTGCAGAGACCAATAACAAAGGACTGCCGCTGCCAGTTGCGTCAAATAGAGGGATGTGTCGAGGCCAGAAAGCCATGCTCTGATAGCGAGGCAGCAGGAACAGCTCTATTAACAGAAGACCCTGCTCTACCATGAGGAGGATGCAGCAAGGCTGCAGCATATCTTGTGTGCCAGCTCTCTCCCTGCTTGTGCTACAATTTAATCATAGCAAGGGGCCACTCCTAGCAAAATAAAACCCTCACCAAAAATTAATTTGTCATTGCAAGTCAGGAAGACTACAAGACAAATACTAGAGACATGATGAAAACCCAGCTGTGTCCCTTATTCTGTATCACACTCCCCCTTGCCAGACCAGTTGAACTCGCGTCATGGTGCTCCTGAGTGTGTGGGGTGCGTGTGGGAGGGAATGACAACCCAGAGCGCACCCAGAAAACCTACTTGAGCTGGGGTGAAGAAATACTCCCTTCCCTAAGATCCTGCCTTCACTAATGTTCTCAGAAGGGACAGGATACTGAGCACACCCACTCGTGGGGCTGGCCCGCCACGGGGCTGTGGCACCTTTGGAAGTCACTTTGCTTTGCCACCTCCTCATCCTCTCGATTCCCCATCGGGAGGCCAGGAAGGGCTGACGGTCTTTGTGAAGTGCTGTGAGGTTTGTTAATGAGAAGAGCAGGGCATTACACGCAAGGAAAGCGAGGTCGGACGTGACCAGAATAGGAGGGCCCCACGGGGAACTCGCAAAGATGAGAGACGCAGCTGTGCCCTTTAAAGTTGGTATTGAAGCTAGGACTGCTCTGCTCCTGAAGGAGATGAACAGCAGCAGGGCAAAGGGGGGGGCATTTGGGAGGAAGCACAAAATTAATGAGCCAGCTAATGGTGAATTTTAAGGACCCACGGGAATTTCCCACCAACTCGAAACATGGGTTTCATCTTTCTCTTTAACCAAATATCTGCTTGGGTAATTACAGTATGATAACATACAGATCATCTCTAGTTTTTCACTTTTGGACATGGTGATTCCCAGCCTTGAATCATTTTGTACCACTGCTCACCTTGAAACAACTGCCCGTTCTCCCCCCAGAGGCAGCTGTATTTTACAACCTGCCTCACTGTTCCCAGAGATGCTAAACCCTGTTATCACTTGTTTTCTTGCAGAGAAAGCTTGCTGAAAAACATCTAATTCATTACGGCGCTTCCACAAACTCAGAAGTAAAACAGAAATTTGATTTGTAAATCAACTGTGTAAGCTATACAACCCATGCTGGTTCCTTAACAAACATGGGGACTTAGCCTTTTGCATCCACCATCCCAAATTTGGGCTACGCTACGAGAACTGCATACATTATTATCTGCTTTGCCTTTTATGACATGACGCAGCTGGTGGGCTGGGAAACTGGCTTTCAACTCCCGATCCTGACAAAGTTGCCAACTGGAAACACAGAAGGGTTCTGATCAGAGATGAACAAGGAGAGCTTCTGCCTTATTAGAACAGTAAATCCTTTGCTTTTCCCTTTTCCTTGCCCCTAACTAAGGCAGCTGGGAGTCTGCATGGTTAGCTTTTAGGTTTTCTCCACCTACAGCTAAACACAATGCTCCTGTGTATAAAATTGAAACTCCCCCAGCACTTTGGAAGTGCTCAGTTCTGGGCTCTTTCTACTTCAGCACACGATACCGCTCCATCTCCTAGACCATGAGCGGAGCCACCCCATGACCATGACTGTATTGTGGTGGTCCTCGATTCAGAACGATGCTGTGGCACTTAGCTGGTTTTGCCAAGCAAGAGACCCAGCAGACAGCTTGGTGTGTATCAACTGAAAACAGAGCTGTGTGAGATCTCTGCAGGCAGCTCACCAGCAAAGGAGCCCACAGCAGAGAAGAAAAAAAGTGACAGTGGTGGAACTGCAAGTATACAGGAGCATCCCACCCAAAAATCATAGAATGGTTTGGGTTGGAAAGGACCTTAAAGACCATTTAGTTCCAACCCCCCTGCCATGGGCAGGGACACCTTCCACTCGACCAGGTTGCTCAAAGCCTCGTCCAGCCTGGCCTTGAACATTTCCAGGGATGGGGCATCCACAGCTTCTGTGGGCATGGTTACAAGTCTTCAAATGGATGGTCTTAATTTAAACTGAGCTTTCACCCAAATGCCTTTGCTTCCTCCAGAAGCTACAGCACCCCTTAGCATCCTTTTTCCTCCCCACAAGCTCCTTCAGGGCAGCAACGTGACTGTCAGCTGGGGTGAGCCTGACTCTCACAGATGCAGAAACATCAGATCATTGGAAAGTGACTTCAGCACACAGTCAAGATCTGGAGGGTCAAGGGAGTGACACGACAGACACTGCACAACGCACTGGGGAAAACCACCCCACCACGAGTTCCCCACAGGCAGGGCTGCCCCACAGAGACATACAAAACAACGCAGGACAATGCTGCACACACACTGTTTGATCAAGGAGCATTCCAGCTTGTAGGCTTGGAGAGTGCAGGGCTGATTGTTAGGTTGCTCCAACCCTGTACCAGTTTGCAGGAGGTGCCGAACACAGAACACTGCTCTGAAAACAGCTAAAAACCCCCTGTGCATTAGGTGCCCACAGACCTGCCCCAAAGCAGGGGAGCACTGAAGAGTTTGTTTATTCAGGACCTGCTCCTCCACATGCCATTTTGCCCAAGGAATGTGTAGGAGAGATTAGATCCCAGGCACAAACTCCAAGCTCAGCCCCCACCTGCAGAGGTTTCTGTCTGCTTCGCTCAAGTATCGAAACTTCTACAGTGCAAATTATGTGCAGTTTTTTCCAGATCATGCTACTCAGTTTTCCAACATGGATCAGAAGACAGCTTCCCCTGAGTATGTTGTGAAAAATCATAAAGCATGTATTTTCCTTAAGAGGAAGAGTTTTATTCATCACTCTGGCGGAGGCAGAACGCTTGGATGTTTGTGGCCCAGGCAGTTTATTACGAAACCTCCCAGTTTTGTGGCCATCTTTTCATTAGAAAAGACCAGGTATGTGAGAGCATTACTCACAAGAACGTATTGATTACCTGGCTAACCCCAGGCTAGGAACATGACCCTGGGAAACGCCAGTAGGCACAATAGGTTTGTACACAAAGAAACCTTCCATGGGAAGAAAAAAAAAAACCAAACCCAAAACCAAACCAACAACCATCAACATCACAAACGTTCTGATCCCTGCAAAAGTCAGGCAAGATCTTTTCTCTGCTGTGCCATCTCTTCTAGAAACCTGACAAGCACATCTCGATCTCTGGCTGTTATTAGCCATGGCAGTTTCGGAACACCAAAAGGGACCTTTTTGAACATGGCACAAAGGGCTGAGGACCATGCACCAGGTCCATCGTGCCACTCACATGCGTGTGTTCCCACAGTCCCTCCCTAGACGAGATGGGGAGACTGCATGTTCTGCCACAGAGCATGGGAAATCCCCTGTTAAAGCCTGTCTGTGCAGGGACCCTGCTGCAGGATGGACTGGTGTCCCACGAGGCTGAGATGCAAGTATAAACAACCATTACAGAGCTTTGCAAGACCAGAGCTTCAGTTTCTTACCCCTTACTTTTTGGCTTTGGGAGCAAGCAGACTTACAGGCATGGACTTTGAGAGAAAAAAAGTGAAATTCCACTCACTGTTTCTTTTGGCACTGACCAACGAGTCTTTTCAGTCCTCAGATGACAAAGGGAGGTGGGAAGGAAGCAAAGCGGATCATTTATCAGCAAACTGCTGCAGACCGCTTCCAACACACCAATCGTCTCCTCAACTCACATTCCTTGCAGACAGAACCCGCCACCTCAACCATCCCCTCCTAAAGCCACAGGCCGGCAATGGCTGTCAACCCTTCCGCCTCCCCAGGCATGCTGATTTTATGCAAGCTCATCTCCATCAGCTGTTTAAGCTGGATTGAGTCTGGGGGTGACACGATCATTTGGTATACTTCCCCCTCTCAGTTCTGGCATGATGCTGAAGGACAGCCCAGTAAGTCCACTGCCCCAAGAAGCGTCACTAAAGGGGTCAGAAGCCCCCAAGTGCCCCCACGCCGCTCCCAGGGCTTTAAAAATGAACCAGGGAAAGGGAGAAGGAACCACGTGCACCAGGACATCTTTTTCTAGTAGATCAACTCCTTTTAAATGCCAGAGTAAACCTGTGCTAGTGCCATCTCGTACTCAACTCCTCAGAGGGCAGCACAGAACCCCTGACTGGGACTCTTCTTCCATGCTTTCCCTTCTGCTGCCAAGAAAACCCCTGGGGCTCACCCCAGGAAGTAGCTTTAGGACACTATTCATTGATCCCTGTAGCTTGCATAGGTCCTGCCCTAGGACTAGCCACAAACTCAGCTCATCTACATGACCCCAAACTACACCTTGCCCTTTCCATTGCAAACACCCATTTGGTTGGCAAATGTCTTTCTCCAGAACACTCGTCACAGGAACAAGAAGCACTGTCAATAGTGATTCAGTGAGAACACACTGACAGAGCAGGAAAAGAGGTGACAGAGACTACCAAAAGCATGTGCACCCCTCAGACAGAGCTGCTAAAGGCCTTAGGCAAAGTAAATAAAACACAGTGCAGAGT